GTGTTGGCGCCTCACTGAGAACTTCTTAGGGAGTTCTTTTTCGTGTAGCATGCATCTGGCCATCTCCATGATACTTACGTTCTTCCTTTCACTCACTCCATTTCTTTGTGGAGTGTATGGCCTGATGCGACTGGTGCTTGATCCCTGCATCATCACATATAGCCCTCGAAACCTGCTCGAGGTGTATTCTCCTCCATTGTCGACCTAATTGTCTTGATATTACAGCCACTCTCCTTCTCTACTTCTCTTTTGAACCTCAAAAAAATCTCATTAACTTCGGCCTTATTCTTCATGAAGTACACCCAACACATTCTAGTGCGATCATCTATGAAAGTGATGAGGTATTGTCTTTGCCGTTCGATGATTCTTCGGCATTGGACCACACACATCTGTGTGGATTAGTTGCAGACTTTTCACTGGCCCTCCAATTTGACCTCTTGAAAGGAATCCTCACTTGCTTGCCTTGTAAACATGCTCTGCCAGTTACTTCCTTACGCAACATAGGTTTTGCCATTTTTTTTTTGCGCAAGTATTGCAGCCCTTGCTATGGAAATGACCCATCTTCTATGCCATAACTCCTCCTCATCTTGTATACTTTTCATGGCTTCAAAATTCTCATCAACCTGGATCAAATGTAAAACACTTGTTCCTCATAGGAATCTGAAAAGGATGTGACCATTCTCATCTCCTATGGCACACCGACTCTTCTCAAATACAACCTTCAACCCTTCTCTACTAAGCGACCCACACTCGAGCGGGTTTTGATCTATCTTTGGCACAAACATAACCTCCGTGATAAGCTTAACACCACCAGGACCTTCAAGCACTACATCACCTTTGCCTTCTACTTCTATGCGTTCTCCATTGCCAATCCCGACTTTAGACTTCACGATTTGTCTAAATTGCTAAATAATCCTTCATTACCTGTCATATGGTTGGTGCATCCACTTGTCCACGAGCCATCCATCTCTAGATGCATTTGAGATGAAGCAGGAGGCAACAAACAGTGCTCAGCTTCACCGGCTAATGCAGTTTGACCTTGACTGCCTTTATTCTTTGATGCTTCTCCCCGCAAATGGCCTCAACATGGCCCATCTTGTGACACCTCCCGCACTTCACATCGGTCTCTTCCAACACTTGAAATGAGGATGATTTTTCTTCCCGCAATGCTTGCATGGAAGCGCATTCCACTTCCTGTCATATCCACCCACGCTTGAACCTCCTTGACTATGACTATGATTGGCCTCAACATGTCTTCTATTTTGGTTCCATCCTCTTCCCTTTTCCGCACTATGCGGCTTCGCGCTTGCGAGCCCATGCCTGGTAGTTGTCTCCATCGAAGATTGAGCCGTGATGGTTGAGAATGAGGCAGCAGTACACCAATTTGTTCCATCTTTCTTGCTCTACTTGAATTTAGCACTCTCTCACAAGTCCCTTAAGATCAATAGTGCTCGATACCACTTTTGTTGCACAGAATGTGCTCGAAATATAGAAGAACAAGAGAAGATTGATCCGGAAAATGCACTTGTCACATTCTAAAAACGAGAAGAGTACATAGCTCTTTTAAAACAATGAAAACTGAATTGCACTAACTTAGTGTGACAAAAACCACTACACCACTAACTAGCAACAAAATAGGAGCTGAAAACAACAAACTCCTACTATCTTGTTGACTTAGTAAAACCAAAAAACAACCAGCTAATGACGAACAAAAATGATGAAAATGGTCCTTAAGACATAACCAACATATCTGCCCTCAATTTTTCAATCCTCATGTTATTTATCTACTACGACAGAGTCACGCAGATGTCGATTTCCTTGCGGTTTTCCATCCTTTTAAATCAATCATAGGAAATAGATTTCTTTAGACGGGAAACGAAAAGAAATGCTAGATTCAATTGTTCCTCAGAAGAAATACTAAATGAAAACAAGAAAAACGTATAATTAGATTATTCGAACACATCCCAATCTAACTTTCTTTTTTTATTTTTGTGGCCTTGCAGGTTTCAAACACATGTCCGTCGGTGTGTTGTATCTCGAACACATCGATACCTTCATTCATGAGTCTCGTTTTGCCAAATTTAATCACAAAAAGGAGTGAATGAGTGATAGGAGTTTTCCAATGAGGTGTTATCAGGGTATTACATACGTGCTCATAATTATATAATTATGCATAGAAATTAAATGAGTACTTATGTATGAAATAGATGAGCATGAGATAAAGAATGCAAGGGTAATTTATATTATATAATTGTTTATAGAAAGAAAGCATGGCCGCGTGTCTGTGCGTCCATGCTAGTTGGGTATGATCTTATATGATTTTCCAAACCCTACGAAAAGTTGGTGCATTGTTAATTTTCATATATTAATTAGTTGGAATAAGAACATCATCAGTGTCATAACTTTAGTACGGTAATTATTTGGGTGACATAACTTTTTTTTCGACCGCTTGAGTGTCATAACTTCAAAAGAAGGATCACTTGGGTGCCATAAATTCAAATCGATCACTTGAGTGCTAAAACTTTTTAAAAACGTTTATTTAAGTGCTGGAAATCTGACGTGGCATAATACTTGTGGTGAACATTTTTAAAAAGTAATGAGTCATGCGGTACTTGAGAGATCGGAAAAAAAAGTTATGGAACTTGAGTGATAGGAAAAAAAGTTATGACACTTATGATGCCTTTTTTTCTTAATTAGTTGTTCAAAAGGGCACGTCCTTGAAGAGAATAGTTTTATCAATAGAAAGACCATACGTTCATTCACCCACGCCACAACTTTTGATGCTGTTTCACTTCTCGAGAACGTCCTTAGATTTTTCAAATGAATGCACTTTGTTCTTTTCGAGAGGAAGTAATCTTGTCCAACCGCCCCGCGTCGTGCGGGTAAATAGAATCCAACCGACTGAATCTGCCGCTTCTGTCTTTGTTAACTTACGGTCGGTAAAAAGAGTTCCAGGATTTTGCTCATATGGAAGTCTTTCCTTGTTTCTTTCTTTGATTGAATTATGTAAAAGCCTGCGAAACTTCAAGTTTGGGTTAATACCATAAGTACTCGAAATTGTTTCATTTAGTTAGGTGTGACGGGCTGGCATTTCTTTCGCCGTGAAATAGCCCGTGCGGCACCTAGTAGGTTGTTCACACCATATCAGCCCTCGTTCTATAGTTGTTCCACAGAACAATACTGGGAATAACTTCCTCGTATCGGATCATATCACGCCCAGTATAGCTTGGACATCTAGTCCATCAAGCGATACACGCAAAACACTTTAGGCACCACAACTGATTTCGGCTTGCCATAGCTTCATCAAGAGAGCGACATCAGCTCCCGACCAATTTGTGCACGAGAGGTGAACCTCGCCTTCAGAGTTTCTAAGAGTATATTCATTCCATCCTAAAACTTTTAGCACCAACTATCCTGACACTAGTCCTATTAACCAGTTGTATTCATCCCTTCTGCATCCTCATTCTTCACTCAACAACCCCAAGCTCCACTCACAAGAGTATGAGAATACAAGAAAATCATAGTCCGTGACACAGGCATCAGTGAGACTTCAACCACAAGAGGGAAGATCAACTGTAATGTAGCTTTCCAACACTGATTTATTCTTCAATTGTTCTTTTTCCAAAGAAAGTTTGGAGTCATCTTCTAGTCTTGTTGGTGACTAACTTGGCAGTTGTGCATTTTGTGTTGGTAGTTTGTTTGCACAAACGAAGAGATGCATTGTCCCACTTAATGGTTTTTTATTTGCGGTTATTTATTAATGGTTATTTCATAAAGATCCTACCTTTGAAAGGTCGTATCTGTTCAAACATATTTTCGCTATTAATTACTCAATGTTTCTGTTCAATAAACCAACTTCCATTTTCATTTCTTTCTTATTGTTTTCAATTATTTCCCTTTGAGAGTTATTGGAATACCAAATTGCTATATGATAGTCATGTTTAAGACTTTGTTCTATCTTGGAGGATTTTTGCTAGTAAGCATTAGCAATGTTTGCGGAATAAATAATTCTTTAAAGAGAGTGTATTCATGCCTTAAAGTCTGATTCCATTTTTCCAGTCCCTGGTAATTTTTCCAAACATTTTGAAGGGTAATTCGTTAGTTAAGAAGCTTTTGAAGCTAGCGTATGAAGACTCTCTTCGCTACTTGGGGACTCAAAAATTGTAGATGCTTCATCTATTATAGTTTTCTTTAGCTAATAACTATGTTGTTTTGTAAAGTTTTGGCCACATAGCTAATCCGAAAAAATCTATATTTCCATTAAGCTTAGGTGGGTATACCCATAAGTACATTCTGGAAGATATAATTTCAAGAAAAGAAATACATAAAATATAAAATTTTCCAACTTCTAAAGATTGGGTTCCAAAACTTACAAAACCAATGGCCTTATATTTGGTTGATACACTTCCTCAAATGGAAGAGTCGAGATCGCGAATCTTCAACTTGTCTCATAAATATTCAAATTGTGATGTAGGAAGAGCTTTGATGAGAGTATCAGCTAGATGGTCAGTAGTGGAGATAAACTGCACACTGAGCCATCGTTTGGCGACATGATCATGGCCAAAGCAGAAGTCAATCTCAATATATTTGGTACGAGCATGGAAAATTACATTTGCAAAGAGATAAGTGGCACCAATATTATCGCACCAAAGGAAGGGAGGACCTTGAAGAGGGAACCCAAGCTCATGAAAGAGTGATTCAAGCCATATGAGTTCAGCTGCACCATTGGCAAGGGTTTTATACTTAGACTCTATGGAAGAGCGCGCTATGGTTCGTTGTTTTTTGGAGCTTCGAGAGATCAAGTTAGGACCAAGAAAAATAGCATACCTGTTGGTTGACTTCTTATCGTCTAAGTAGCACCGACACGCTTGGGAGGCGTCCGAGTCGGTGTCCGACACGTGTCGCGTGTCCGACACGCTCCGACACTTGGTCAACGTGTGTCGGAGATCCGACACGCGGTCAACGCGGCGACACGCATGTCCGGCGCTGAAGGTTGTGGGTCACGGAGGAGTTGGAGGAGTTGTAGAAAGGAGACGAGGATGAAGGCGCGGCCTCTTTGACGAGGCGGAGGCCGATGCCGACGCCGCCGAGTTGCGGGAGCCGCCACTGACAGGGACATTGTGGAGGGTGCCGCCCTGGGTCCAGTAGTGGTGGCAGGACTTGCAGAAGTGGCGAGTCTGGGAAAGGTTGTAGTTGTTGTAGTAGCAAAACTTGGTGTTGGTGGAGTCACAGCACAAGCAGAGCAACGCCTCCGCTTGAGGTGGCGGAGGCGGATGGTGCAGGCCGGCTCCTCCCCCCGCGGCGGCGGCGGAGGCCTGAGGTCGGGCTGGCCTGCGCTCGCTCGTGTCTGAAGGCATGTCTTCTCCCTTGCGGGCGTCGAGGAGCGTGCAGAGAAAAAGTGTTAAAACTTAAAAGAGAAGGCTTTGGAGGAGGGAGAGAGAGAGAGAGAGAGAATGGGGTGGAGACGTGAAGGAGAAGGCAGCATTTGTACTTTCCTTTTTTTCAAATTTAATTATTTATTTTTAGTTTCTTAATTAATATATTTATTTATACATAATTATTTTTTGAAAACTTACGTGTATAATTTTTTTAGGGTAAATTCATTCTAGGATTTTTATTATTATTTATTTACTTATTTGAATCAAATTAAAAAATGATAATTTATCATGTATATATAAAAATATATATAATATACAACGTGTCCCAACGTGTCGGAATTCTCTATTTTTGAGAAATAACATGTCGTGTGTCGTGTCGTGTCGTGTCACGTGTTGCGTATCGCGTGTCGGTGCTACTTAGCCTGTCGTCAGAGCTACAAGCCCAATCCGCATCGAAAAAAGCTTGCAAGCGAAAATTATTAGATCAGGAAAGAAGCAAACCTAGCGAGTATCATTGCCACCCTTGAGAGACAGCAAGAGATAAAATGGAGCGAATGGTGGTAATCTTCACAACTGGATTGAAGGTTTCCATATAATCTAAGCCTTGCGGCTAATGAAAACCCTTAGACACCAGGGGAGCTTTATAGCTCTCAACTACCATCCGCTTTGTGCTTAACTCTATATACCCACTTACATCCAACAAGATTCATAGAGGAAGTATGATGGACCAAAGACCTTGTGCCATTTTTTAACAAAGCATTAAATTCATTGGTCATGACTACATGCCAATCAAGGATTTTGTTGGCTAGGGTGAATGAGGTTGGTTTAGTGAGGGGGGTGGTGGCGGTGTTAATTTGAGGAGGATGAGAGCGAAGTTGCATGGTGTGGGTGTATGTTGGTCTAGGTAGGGGTGGCAGTGGTGACAACAGTGGTGAACAGGCCAAGGAGGAGGGGGAATGATGGTCATGGAGGGGCCTGGTTCTTAGGGCAGAGGAGATGGACGAATAAGTATTAAAAAAATACTAGGGAGTCGGTGTAGGAGTCTGTGATCTCACTGTAGTGGTAGGAGGAGGAACGCCAATAGGTTCCAAAGCCCACGGTACCAAGATAGGCGTAGGAAGTGATGAATTAGATGATTGACTGAGAATGGAAGGAGTTGCAAATGGAAAACATGTTTCATCGAAGCGAACAAGTCGAGCAATACATCATGATTGGTAACAGGATCAAGGCAGCAGTACCCTCTATGAGAGAGATTGTATCTCAAGAAAATACAAGGAACAGAGCGAAAATCCATCTTATGGGTGTTATAAAGACACAGATATGGGAAGCAACGACACCCAAAGATTTTTACAAAGGAATAATCCGAAGGGTGATTGTAAACCATTTGAAACGGAGAGCGATTAGTGACCTTGGACATAATTCAATTAATGAGGTAGACCTCCATTTCGAATGCATAGAGCTAGTATTGGTGAGGGATAGTGCCATGAGATAATAATGATAAGTCGGTTTCAACTATATGCATATGACGACGCTCAACCGCCCCTTGTTGTTCATGGGTTTGAGGGGCGGAGAGGCAGTGAGCAATATCAATTTTTGAGAAAAAGGAGGGGAGAATACGAAATTCTCTACCCTAGTCTATTTGAATGGCTTTTATTTTTCGTGAAATAAAAATGTTCGTCAAGAGCTTGGAAAGTAAGAAAAACAAAGTAAACATCTTATTTTGCTTTAAGAGGATAAAACCAAATAAATTTTGTGCTATCATCAACAAAAATGACGGAATAGCAATGACCATTAGTTGAAACAAAATGAGAAGGACCCTAAACATCATTATAAATTAAATCCAACGGAAACAAACTACGAGTTGGAGACAATCCTAAGAATTGATGACTAGTCTTGCCTAATTAACAAGTTGTACATAACTGACTCATCCGTGTGGACTAACACGACAAATTATTCTCTTTGATCATAAACCATAACAAATGCTCATGGGGATGGCTGAGATGTTGATGCTAGTCATCCATGGAAGCCTGTTCCGCAATACCGACAGTAGGCATTGAAGGTTGTTGCGATATGGTGTAAAGACCACCACTACTCGGGCTGGAAAGAAGAACTGCCTTGGTCATTAGATCCTTAAAAGAAAGTGGATAGGATAGAATTTAAAGAAGACATTATTATTAGTCGCAAATTTTTTAACCAAAAGTAAACGCTTTGAAATATCAGAGACATGAAGAATATCATTTAAACGTAAAGAAAGATTTGAAATGGAGGAGAGAATAGAAGAAGTACCAATATTAGTGATTTTGAGACCCTTGCCACTTCCCATGTGTAGTTGATTTGATCAATTATAATCTTCGTAGGAAGAGAGAGATTGTATATCAGGCGTAACATGGTGGGAGGCACCCATGTCAGGGTAACAAGGTAGGTTGTTGGTAGGTAAAAAAGAGGGGGAAGGGCATCGTTCAGGTTGGCATTGGAAGAGTAAGAGAGCTGATACGATTAAGTATATGAAGGGGTATGTATAGGGGGTGGGTAATATAGCATACCTAGAGGGCAATAGTAGCATGTGGCTGCAATGTGATTTGCACGTTGATAGATGGAACACCATAGATGATCTTGTGGAGCACCACGAGAACCACAACCATGGCCAAAGCAACCACTGCGACCCCCGCAACCTCTGCACTAACTACAACAAGAAAAGAGGAACCAAGAGAGTGGTGGTGGCAGAGGTGGAGGAATTTCGTTGAGCTAAGTTGGTTGTAGCAAAGTTAGCCTAAGATGAAGGCTCAGTGATTGTAACTTTTGAAAGGCCTTAATACTCTCCTGACTAAGGAGAAGACCTTGAAGTTCTATAAATGTAATTGGTTTAGAATGACCAAGTAATGTAGGAATAATGTCTTAGAGATCAGATCGGAGACCACGAAAGATGAAGACATTGAAATCTTCCAGTTCAAGTGGCTTGCCTGCAACACCTATCTCATCGACAATGGATTTAGCACATTAGATGAAATCAATAACTGATTCGGCTTGTTTCTGTTGCAAACGTTGAAGACTGAGATGCAGAGAGAGTATACAAGTAGCAGAAGCTAAGTCAAAAGAGACATTAAAAGGATCCTAGATGGCTTTGCTAGTTGGTTTATCAATCATGAGAGGTAAAATCAATTCTAAGATGGATGCAATTAGAAGACTCATGATGGAAGCATCTTGTTGTTGCCGAAGAGCTGCTTAGGATCCATCAGAGGCACACAGTTTTGTCCCATTGACATGATCATAGAGGTTTTGTCCCATGAGAAATGGGATAACTTGTGCTTTCCATAACAAGTAATTGGATGTTGTTAAACGTAGAGAAAGGAAATGGTGAGCAAATCCAAATGGAGAAAGAGTAGAAGAAAGGTTTGTGATTGCGGTCATGATGGTGGTGATGGTGGCAGGATTCTCTAGGTCCATGGTGACCACCCTTGGTAAAAAAAGGCTTAACAAAGCTAGGGTTGAAAGGAGACATGAGCCCTATATGGCTTTGATACCATGCTGAGAGGAAAATTGTTGTAGTAGATCTCCATATTAAGCTTGGGTGGGTATTTATATACCTAAAAGTACATCCTGGAAGATATACTTGCAAGAAAAGAAATACATAAAGGCTCCGTTCGTTTTGCGAAAAATGTTTTCCGAAAAAACATTTTCCACAATTTCCAATGTTCGGGGAGTGGAAATTAAGTGGTCAAAGAAAATATTTTTCCGGTTAATGGAAAATATCCTTCTAAAATTGGCGAAAATGATTTCCTTTCCTAAAAGGAAGGAAAACATTTTCCAATCTCCCCTCTTTCTCACATGTCCTCTCCTCCTCTCTCCAGAGTTGCTCCTTTTCCCCATCGTTCTCACGCAACCGTCTGCTCCTCCGCTATTTCCTCGCGCTCCTCCTCCGCTGCTGCCTCATGCGTCATCTCGTCCCACAAAGAAGTAATTCCTTAGATCTGGCGAGCGAGGTCGCCTCACTTGCCCAAGGCCGGCGAGGCCGAGCCTAGCCTCGCCTCGCTAGATCCGGCGATACTCGGCTGAGCTTGAGATCGGTGAGGCAAGGCCAGGCCGGTTGTCGGCCACGGCGAGCGAGGTCGAGCCTTGCCTGTGGCCGGTCGCCGGCCGTCGCCGTGGTCGACGACCGACAGAGGAAGAAAGAAAGGGGAAAAAAAAGAGAAAAAAGAAAAAAAAAATATGAAAAATTATTTAAAAATTCAAAAAAATAATTTTCATTTTTTAAAATAAAATAAAATAAAATAAAAATTTATTAAAAGTAGTGCATGAAGGAAAATATTTTCTATACCGAGCAACAAAAAATATTTTCCAGTTCATTTTCAAGTTTTAGACGAACATCGAAAAATATTGTTATTTTTTAGAAACGTTACATTTTGAGCGAAATGAACTGAGCCAAAATATAAAACTTTGCAACTTCTAAAGATAGGGTTCCAAAACTTCCAAAACCAATAGCCCTATATTTGGTTGATAATTCACAACCATAGATTTTGTATAAGTTTACTAAAAAACTCTATGAAACTTATGTGCATTAGTAAGATAAATCATATATGTCCATTAGAGACATAAAGCATACTGTACGATTAATGAAAATACTTGGAAAGTAATTACTTAAACAATTCTAAATTCGATCAAACCTTTCAAGGTTATATTTTCCCACACATCAACATAAGTGCTCTTTTCATTTTATCGTCAAAAGTAATCACACACAATAAAATTTCATCGAATTTCAACTTTCTCACTGTTCTCCTTTTTGTTTCTTTAGAAAACCGGAAATAAAACAGGCTACTAAGCACAGTTCCAGGCTAGAGGGAAATAAAAGCAAATGTTGAACTATTATTAGAAACCAAATGAACCCTCAACTTTCCTTTTTCTTATGATCATGTATCCTATTGTTTAGTATGAAAAGCATATCAGTGGAATTATGATTTCAAAGTTAAAGGGCCCAAAAAAAT